ATATATATCATAAAAATATAATAAAATAGTGCATAAAAATACATTTAAAAAATTTATAAAATAATTTTCATTAGATGAAATGAAAGTAGACTAAAGTGGACTCAAATATTTTAAATATGTTGACATTATTATTCATGTTCTACACTTTCTAATATTTGTTCACAAAGACAATCAAATGTTTTGTTGTATAACTTCTTCACAAGGTGTATGTGCATTAGGCTTATGCTGTGTGCCAGCGTCATAAACAAAACAAACAGGAAAAAAATGGTTAATCACAGTTATTTGAATGACAATTCAGCATCAGTCAAAATGTCAGGGTTGTGACAGCTCAAGCAGCGATGACTCACCTGTGTCTTGCCCAGCAGCTTATATGCCAGTTGAACTTTGGTGTAGTGAGAGACATCAAAGTGCTTGCAGGTTTTGGACAGCGCCACATCTAGCTGTTCCTGCATAAACGAGCACAAAATCAGCAAGATCAGCACAGGAAGTTCAATGGCATAATTTGAGTGCATATGGAAAGCAGAGACAGGCAAAAAAAATAAAAATTTAGAAGCCTAATTTTATGGTGCTGAAACATACAATTACCACAAATGAATGAGGGCCATAATAATCAACGGTTTAAATCACAGATGATACTGAACGCACAACTTCATTTTGAGCTCAAAGATAAGCATTCGCATTCTTAATGAGTTGAGACGTGCGCTGCTACAGAAATAGAAAAGTGGCGTGAATCATTGTCATTTTGGTAGCAGCGCTCTGCGTTGGCACAGGCGCCGTGCTATTCGCTAATGCGTGTGATGAGACAGCGAACGAGATAAAAAGACGGGGAGGAAGGGAAAAGAAAGAGTGAGAGACATATATTAAAAGAGAAACATGAAAGAAAAGGGAAAAAAGAGCAAGTCAAAGAGTAAAGGAGTTGTATGAGAGGCTGAACGCCATCCAATTACATTTGCCACACAGAAATCTCTGCATAATATAGTAGATAACACAAACAGCACTGCTTGAGAAACTGTGTGTGTGTGTGTGTGGCTATGTGTGTTTTGTGGTGGTATAAGCTTGAACGAAGCTACCAAGTCCTGAAAGACAGCAATTTATTTAATAAAACAGTCCATCTGCCTCTGGGCCTGAGAGACCAAATGCTGGCAGACTGACACCCTGGGCGCCACTGTTAGACGTACAAACGCATGGTCAAGTGTTCCTTCCGATCTGTTTAATTCATATAAAGTTGAGGCACTACATCAGGGCAACTGCTGTGGTTAAATCTGTCAAGGGTGCGTGAGTGTTTCTGAAGGGAATAGGGTGATCTGAGATTGAATGTCTGATTCAATGAAGAAGAAGGTCACCATCCTAGATTCCTGTCTTTTGCCTAAGGACAACAACAACAAAAAAAGTCACATACCTCGATTTGCTCCAGAGTGTCTTGGTACAAACGTCTCTAAAGCGCTTTGGGGTGCATGTGCACGGTCTACGGTTGTTCATGCCTCTCTCAAAAAGTATAAACAAGCAGTTCAATGGCATTTTAAATGCAAAGTGCTTTGCTTTCATCTTATTTTATTAATGTTTGTATATGGTAAATACATTTGACTGATCCAGGTCAGATTGCTGCAAAATGACGGTGTTTCTGAAGGGAATAGGGTGATCTGAGATTGAATGTCTGATTCAATGAAGAAGAAGGTCACCATCCTAGATTCCTGTCTTTTGCCTAAGGACAACAACAACAAAAAAAGTCACATACCTCGATTTGCTCCAGAGTGTCTTGCAGTTTGGAATTCAACTCGCTGATGGGAAAGAAAAGAGACAAGGGTGGCAAACGGTGAATAGGAATACAAAACAACAGAAATGTTGGTTCATTGTGAAGCACAAGTAACCATTGTATTCGGTTTGCAGGGTAACACAAACCACCAAAAACATTACAGCAACATGTTGGAGGCAAAAACAGCTAGCTTTCTCCGAGAGTGAGAGAGAGCACTAAACAACACACAACCTGCCTCACAGATGGAAAAAAAACAGACACTGACATTTGAAAAACAGGGGTGTATTTTTACAGAGCGTGGCTTCTTGCTTATCTTGTGCAGCGGGAACAAGACTGATGTGTGTTGTTAGTGTCGAAAGGGGTGTGCTAAACTAGTCAGTGGGTTTTCTGAATGAGGGAGGAAAAAAAATGACTGGTCTGTCTTACAAAGGCCATGAATAATAAGGCTGATTTAGGGTCACATCAATCACACTCCAATCAGATGTCTTTCTTAGGGAACTCAACAGTAAAGCTGTCTTTCCACTATCTCCAACACTCATGTACTATTATCGCATTTCGGCCCTAATGGCAGTCGCACCGAATTTTCAAAAGCAGCCATTACCCTCTGAATAATGTATAAATGAATTTATCCACACAAAACAAATGACCGCCATATTTGTTTGAAATACACTCATAGCAGGTTTTCTATAGCTAATCAATGTAAATAATTATGTAATGGTAATAAAATATTTTGTCTGGTCAATTATTCATAAGCACCAACTTTACAGAAATAGTGTTTAGGATTAACATTTTAGTGCAAAAATGCTACACATTAGGTTTTCATTTAAATACATTACATCCGGTTAAGTGGTCGGATATGGTCTCACGCACTCGATAAAGTCCATACAAATTCAGAACTCCTTGAAAATGAATACTTGAACAATACTGAAAAGGCGGCTTGAGGATTTTTTCTGCTTGCCCATTTGATCAAGTATTTTAGATTTGTTTTCGCCCTAACAATTTCACTAAATACACACATAATAAACATTTAAAATTGTAAAATGTCTTGTTTAAAATATATAATTCTATATTTAAGTATTTTATAGTTACTTTAAATTATTTGATTTTATTTATTATACTATTTTTTTTTTTTTTACTTGTTTCATGAAAAGAACTAAGAAATTTAGAATGTGCATAAGCATAATTTGCAACCAAAAGGTTTTTTTTTTTTTAAGATTTATTTTTTGTGTTTTCTGACTTGTATAGGACAGTGGAGAAGTGACAGGAAGCAAAGTGGGAGGGATCGGGAAAGGTCCTCGAGCCGGGAATCGAACAAGGCTATCAGCACCAACTTGCAACCAAATGTTTGTTTGTAGGTCCTAAAAATGCAAAAAATAAAACTCAATTAAGTTAAAAATGTCAAATAAAAAAAAAAGTCTATACAAAATACCTTGTACCACATAAAGGACCTTAAGTCTGACAGTAAATGTTGAATATAGTGAATTTGTTACACAAGTGCTGCTTTGATGGCTGTAATAGCAGTGCTTTAAATGGAATGGGCCAGCGGCATCTCGAAATGTATCCCTTTAAAGCACTGCCAGTAAAAATACTAAAGCTAAAACAAAAATTAGAGTAAAAAAAAATCTGACCCATCTGATCCCATTAGTGTCTAAAAAGCAAACCTTTGGGCCTCTATGAGGAACCAGCTGAGACTTGGAGCAACATGATACTAGCAGCAACTTTGCCGGTGGCCACGCATAATCATGATCTGACAATTAAGAACAACTGTATTTTATTTCACAAGCTAACTCAGCTTGACATGAGGGATTGCCTGGCCCCTGTGGGGCCCGTCTCTTCCTTTTCCTCATCCTTCCCTTTTTCCTTCTCTTTGAAGGCACTGGATGCAAAAAGAGGTGTTCCAGAAAACTGATCCTATAGATGCTCTAATTTTGCCACAATGCACGATTCTTGGCATGAGGAACCGCATCCGTATACCAACGCACGGCTGGTGTGCAAAAACAGGAGGTGTTTTAATATGCAACATTCTATTTGTGTTGTTATAAAAAACCGGCAGGAGAGGATGTGACCTTTTCATGAAAAAGCTGATTCCTTCAGACAAATGAAGGAATTGAGTGCTGGTGACCTGGACAAGTTCTTGCAAAGGCTGATGGGAGGATGCAGAAGTCCTTTAGTCTGCCTCAATCCATCACAGTGGGCTCTGACTCAACGTGGGTCCCCTTTTCCCTTTAGGGCCCTCAGAGGAAACCCAGCATCAAGTCGAGCTGATCAATTACTTCTGACTTGCAGCTCGTCACCACTGTGCCTCTCCGAGCTTCGCTGTTTCCTTCGGGACGGCCTTGCGAAATCACATTTTAATGAGCTTTCACGACAGGATCCGTTGCACAATAAAAACATTTCCATTCAAACGGTCTCTTATCATTATCATGACATTAGGCAAGAAAGCGCAGAGAGGAAAGACCAAGACTTTTTTTTCCCCCCATTTCAGTTTCGGAACATAAATCCTTTGCTAATAGCATGGGGCCAATGGTGTCAGATGTGATTAAATTAAAGGATGTAGCTGGATTTGTGGGTAGTGTTTTTAAAAGTTGAGTGTGCTGGGCTGTAAAACCACACCGCTGGGCACTTTTGCGGCTTGCGTCTCTTTCCAATTAACTCCGCTTTCTTGCACCTGAGCGAGCAGACAACTGAAGTATCCAGTACAGGTAGAATAAGTGCTGATATATAATCTATAACTAGCTGCAGGAAAAGCAATTACTTGGAAAAAGTCTCGAAGATGTCCTCAAAATCCAAAACAGGTTTATCTGTGAAAGTCTGCAAACGGAAGTTTTTAAGATGAAGCAACATGTGGATCACAATTTCTTTATGTTGCAACAGCACATAGTTCATGCCAAGAAAGCAACTGATGGACATCTGCTTTGACTTTAAAGCTGTCATATCACAAGAAACCAAATTTCCCTTGATCTTTTGAGATAGGTGTTTGACGTAGGAACACATACTGTAACCATCAGAACTTGAAACTTCCCATCCAAAAAAGCGACTGGTTCTGAACTTCTGCAACTGTCTAGCATTAGATAAATTAATGTAATATATATCTGTACATGTAAAAAGTCAACCAGATCATAAGAACTTGACCCAGGCTTTGCAAAAAAGGTTGCTGCTAAAAAAATAGGGTAATTAAAAACTACACTGAATGCAAAATCAAATCTGGTTCCCATGTGAATTGGGCATTTCATAAAAGCAAAACACAGCATTCAGTTCTAGAACTATGATAAAGTATAGAAAATAGTTATGTTTTGGTGGCAGATAAAAAAAAATAAAATAATAATAAAAACATTATACACTACTGTTCAAAATATTGGGGTCCTTCATTTTTTATTTTTTTTTTTACATTTAAGTCTCTTATGCTTACCAATACTGCATTAATTTGTTCAAAAATACAGTAAAAATGTTAATATTGCAAATTATTACAATTTATTTATTTTTTTATTTTTACATATTTTAAAATGTAATTCATCGCAAAGCTGAAATTTTAGCAGCCTTTAACACCAGTCTTCAGTTATACATCCTTCAGAAATCATTCTACTATGATGATTTGGTGCTCAAGCCACATTTCTTCCTAATCAATTTAATTCTGAAAACAGTCGTGCTGCTTAATATTTTTTGCAGAAACACTACATTTTTTACATTGACATTTTTCAGAATTTTTCATGAACAGAAAGTTCAAAAGAACATTTATTTGAAATACACTTTTTGTAATTAAAACATCTTTACAACTCCTGAACAAAATTATTAATTTTTTTTTTTTTTTAAGTCTAAACTCCAAACTTTTGAAGGTAGTGTACTGTAAGTGCAGCTCAAAAACAATTCAAAATATGAGACACCTTTAAATTTTCTACTCTCAAAATTCAGCGGATGCATGTGGTAATTTCCAAAACCCCAGCAAAACCAGTTTTGAATATTTGAAGGTCAGTTAGCAGGCACTTTGACAAGCACACCAACAGCAATCCAGCTTTTGACAGTCTCCCAAACAGACAGTATGAGTCATTTTGCAACTGCTTGCGTTCACAAATCAGTGGGTATTCTTCTTTATGGTATCCCTGTCAATTCTCATTCTCTGTAGGTCTGTTAAAACGTTAGCATTTAAAAAGGCACAGAGAGACACAGATCTGAAATCGGAGTATAATAAACTCGTAGAATTTCAATCTCAAAGGCAAGAAATACAGTTTTACTTTAGAAGTAAGGAAATAACAAAGTGACATTTCACTCCATGATATTGACCGCAGGTATTCCTAGACTCCCTAAACTCAGACATGGAGTACGTCCCTTCTGAAACTCTTTGCTCAGATTCAAGCAGTGACATCAATACCTGCCCACACAAATGTCTCATAGCTTAGAATCTCAATGCATCCAATTATACATCTTATCACTTTTCCCTGCAGGGATCGAAATGAGCAAACCACAGTGGTATCACTATAAAAATCATGAGATTCCATCAAACATGCTTTTATTAACAAGGGTTGTGGCTCTTGAATAGTACTCCACGCTCCTGAAAGAGTGTGCTGAATTGTAAAACAGGTGGATGAATTTGCAGTCAAAAGAAATGTTTTAGTGGTTCAACTGGCAGTGGCTCAATCCAGATGTGCACAGCCTTATTAAAGTCAAAGGACATAACCTGCAACAAAGTTCAAGAGGAGAGACAATGATTTCAGATGAATCCTGACCAAAGAGGCCTACAACACCTGAAGACCGCTATCAGTTTTATACAATTTTGGGCACTGAATTTTTAAGCCAATCATCTGAGCCAAAAATGCTAAGTGAACAATAATAAATCAGTTTCATACTTTTAACAGCCTTCCAATTAGGGGTGGGCAATCTTCCCAAAATATCATATCAGGATCTTATAATGCAGAATCACAATCCGAATCGCGATCTTCCCAATTTTGAGATGTACTATCGAGAATGCCCAGACTGGAACAAGCCTATGACTTATTTGCACAGATTATAAAACACAGTATTGCATTAAAC